GCCACTTCCAGGGATGTACTCTTAACTAAGCTTTTCACTCAAGGCTGGTGCTCTACCATTTGAGCCATACCTTCAGTTCTTTTTGCTGGTTAAGTGAAGGTAAGAGTTTCTAGGATTTGTCTGCTTGTGCTGGCTTCAAACCTTGGTCCTCACATTCCAGCTTTATTTTAATAAAAATGTCACTTAAAAAAAGAGAAAAACTGTAGGGCACCAGTGGCTCAGGCCTATAATCCTTATAGGCTTTATAGGGGTGATCCAGCAGTACCTGACTAAACTTTGGCATTTAAAAAAGATCAAAGAGCTTGGAGGTTAGCTCAGTGGTAGAGTGATTGCCTTGAATGCATGAGGCCCTGGGTTCAATTCCTCAGCACCACATAAGCAGAAAGAAGCCCAAGTGGCACTGTGGCTCAAGTGGTAGGGCACTAGCCTTGAGCTGAAGAGCTGAGGGATGTCTGCCCAGACCCAGAGTTCAGCCCTCATGACCAACAAAACTAAAAAAAAAATTAAAAAAGATCAAAATACAGAATTACAAAATAGGGCAAATGTTTGTGAGAAAGGTATTTCAAGCCACATAGTTATTCATTTGTTGACCCATCTTCCCTCTGTTGATAACTCCCATTATAACCTCTCATGTGCTAGGTAAATACTGCCCCTGAGCTAATCCCCAGCCTGGTGGTTACTCTCTGGCTGCTTTGTGCTATAGTGAGATACTGCTTCCCTAGTCCCACAAAAGTGTGTGTTGAGTAGATTCTAAGATAATCATGGTAATTTTGCTTATCCTGATATTTTGAGAAAGTTCTGGATAATGAGCTAAAAGGGAGAAATCTGGGTTTTGGAAAATTTCTTGTTGCTTTCAAAATGAATAGAAGCAATAAGGGTTGGTAGCACACCCCTGTAACCCCACCATTTGGGAGATGGAGGCAGGAAGGTTCCAAGTTTAAGACCAGTCTAGGCTAGACTGCAAGCATGAGTCCACCTTGGGGTACATATGACAAATCAAAAACAAATCACAAACATGGATACAAGGGTTAGGGGTACAATCTGGTGGTAGAGTGCTTGTCTTTCACATGAGGCTCTCAGTTCAATCCCTAGCAGTGAAAAAAAATACATGACAGATTAACTCTGACCTCTCGACCCCCTTTTTTGTGCTGATCCTGAGGCTTGTGTTTAAGGTCTTGAGCTCTTGCTCAAGCGTAGTGCTTTACCAATTGAATCATGCTTCCAATCTAGCATTTTGCTGGTTAATCAGCAAAATGGAATTTTCCAGACTTTCCTACCCACAGCTGAGTTTGAACTGTGATCCCCAGTACCAGCCTGTGAGAAACTAGGATGATGGGTGTGAGCCAGCATCCCCAGGTTCCATTCTTTTGCGCCTCTTTCTGTCTCTCTCTGTCTGTCTCTCTCTTTTTGGCCAGTCCTGGGGCTTGAACTCAGGGGCCTGGCTCTGTCCTTGAGCCTCTCTGTGCCCAAGGTTAGCTCTCTACCACTTCAGCTACAGCACCACTTCTCACTTTTTCTGTTTATGTTAGATACTGAGGAGTCAAACCTAGGGCTTCATGCATGCTAGGCAAGCACTCTACCACTAAGCCACCTTCCCAGCCCCCTCTTGCATCTTAGTGAAGGTATGTGGCTGTCTTAAGGCAATCTACAATGATCTCTGATGACCATGAAAGGAAGAATGTGGAAAGCAGGGTTCCTAAGAATTAAATTAGAAGTACAACTACCATATGACCCAGTTCTCCCACTTATACAGGGTCCCACAAACCACCCACCACATTTTCTCCACTCTGACACAAACACAGCAAAGCAAGGTCCCTTGAGAGCTCTGATCCAGTTAGCTATATAGGAACTCAAACCAGGTCTTGAACATTTCTAGGTACTGTTAAAGGCATTTTGGTTGTTGATGCAAACACCAACATATAAGTCCTGGCCCTAAGACATATAAAATAACTCCAGTCTCCAAACCCCTTGTGGCTGACATATTAAGGTCAACACT